GGGCTCAGCAAAAGGTTTCGTTGACATCACACTTTCACGTTGTAAGGATCTGTTCAGTAACAAGAAATTAGTAAAATACCTGAAGGAGAGTTCTTTTGATGCCGTGTTTCTGGATCCTTTAGACGTGTGCGGCTTAACTGTTGCCAAGTACTTTTCACTCCCATCTGTGGTCCTTGGTAGAGGAAAATTTTGCTCTATGGTTGAAGAAGGTGCTCAGTGCCCCAGTCCCTTTTCTTTTGTCCCTAAACTTCTCTCCGGCCTCCCAGATGCCATGACTTTCAAAGAGAGAGTATGGAACTATCTCTCTTTCTTGGATGAGCAGTTATTTTGCTCCCAGTTTTACAAGAAAGCCACTGAGATCGCCTCTGAAGTTCTCAAAACCCCAGTGACCATGTATGATCTCTTCAGCCAAGTGTCCGTTTGGTTGTTACGCTCTGACTTTGTGTTGTGCTTTAACAGTGGGCTCAGCAAAAGGTTTCTTTGACATCACATTTTCACGTTGTAAGGATCTGTTCAGTAACAAGAAATTAGTAAAATACCTGAAGGAGAGTTCTTTTGATGCCGTGTTTCTGGATCCTTTTGACGTGTGCGGCTTAACTGTTGCCAAGTACTTTTCACTCCCATCCATGGTCTTTGGTAGAGGAGCATTTTGCTCTATGGTTGAAGAAGGCGCTCAGTGCCCCAGTCCCTTTTCTTTTGTCCCTAAACTTCTCTCCGGCCTCCCAGATGCCATGACTTTCAAAGAGAGAGTATGGAACTATCTCTCTTTCTTGGATGAGCAGTTATTTTGCTCCCAGTTTTACAAGAAAGCCACTGAGATCGCCTCTGAAGTTCTCCAAACCCCAGTGACCATGCATGATCTCTTCAGCCAAGTGTCCTTTTGGTTGTTACGCGCTGACTTTGTGTTGGAGTTTCCCAGACCTCTGATGCCCAACATGGTCTTCATTGGTGGCATCAACTGCCACCAGGGAAAGCCACTTTCCAAGGTACATTATCTCTTCTTTAGTACATGAAAGGTGGCCTGGCTTTGGTTGTTAGAAAAAACAAAAAGATTCCTTATGGAACTGTGGTTTGTCATTTATGTTTGCCATATTTACAGTTTCTTTCTGGCTCAATAAATTAATTTCTACCAATTTACTTAATTTTAGTTCAGAAATGATAAAACTGTCTTCCCTATTGGTTATGTATATGCAGCTGAATTCATTATAATTTCCAGGTTCTTTTTTAAGTACTAGCTTCAAGTAAACATCTTCAAAACATTGCTTTACTCCAATCCTGGGTTCCTTGTTTAGAACAGTGCTCTCTGTACATGTGCTTCTTTTCAAATTATTGAAATTGCTTTGCAATCTGAATATAAACACACTGTGCAATATTTATTTTTTTATTTTTTGGTCTTTTTGAGACAGGGTCTCCCTGTAGCCCCAGCTGTCCTGGAACTCACTATGTGACCAGGCTGGCCTTGAACTCACAGAGATCTGCCTGCCTCTGCCTCCCAAGTGCTGGGATTAAAGGCATATGCCACCACGCCCGGTGCAATATTTCTTTTATTAAAGTAGTACCTGACAATATCTATACTTTGTATTTTACTCAACAATAAATCACCAACATGTTCATAGGCCAGAACTTACAGATTTGACAAGTTCTTTAATAATTACTTCAAAATCTTTAGACACACTTTCCTTTCAACCAGTCAATAATGATAGATATTTAAGCTGCTTCTGGTTTTTGTTTTTAGTGGACAGAGCTGTTCTAACCATCCTGAAATATCTGCTTTCTGTTGGATTCTTTCGATGGTTTTAACCTTCTTTCAGCATGCTGATGTTGCAGTGTAGGGTGGTTGGGTCTAATTGCATACACATATTATATTTTAATGAATTTCAGGAACTGATTTTAAGTCATGAACAATGTGACAGTAAGATCGATGGTGAATGGGAGTTGCAGCTTTCCGGTGCCCTTTCTGTCTTTCCTCTGTCTTCAGATGTCATCCAACATTAAAGCTATATTAATATTTCTGAGCAAAAATATTGTGTGTAGCCTATTTGGGTCTTTTATTTGGGCAGTACTGGAGATCGAAACCAAGTTCTTATACATGCTAGACAAATGTGCTACCACTGAACCACATCCCCAGCCCGCTTTTTACTTTTTGTTTTGAGACGGGGTCTCACTAAGTCGACCAGGCTGCTCTTTAACTCACTCTGTAGCCCAGGCAGACCGAATCCAGTCTTTGTGGGTAAGCTCAAAGTCATCAACAGAGATTATTTATCTTCACCTTTTAGTCAAAGTTTTCAAATTTACACGAAGGACATACTACAGTCTAATGAACACGTCCCTTGCATTCTTCCATCTCTTTAAAAAACACAGTGTGCACTGAGCTTAGTCTTCATCAGATGAGCAGATACTAGTGCTTTCCAAACTGTCTGAGACTAAGGAACAACAAGAAAGCATCCAATTTACTATGGGTTCCTGATGTTATAAAAGGCACTAGAGAAAACACGAGAGACCGAAATGTAAGACCTCTGGTGATGGACTTGGGTGGCCATGCAACCCGTGCTGCTCTGAGAGTGTCTCCTGGTGCCTGCAGGGTGGGAAGGAACACTGTCCATGCTGTGCAATTGCAGGGTGGGAAGGAACACTGTTCATGCTGTGCACCTGCAGGGTGGGAAGGAACACTGTTCACGCTGTGCACTTGCAGGGTGGGAAGGAACACTGTCCATGCTGTGCACTTGAAGGGTGGGAAGGAACGCTGTTCACGCTGTGCAATTGCGGGGTGGGAAGAAACACTGTTTATGCTGTGCACTTATGGGGTGGGAAGAAACACTGTTCATGCTGTGCACTTGCAGGATGGGAAGGACCTCTGTCCACGCTGTGCATTAGAGCAGCATTATTTTAGAACCAAGCCAAAAGCTTTGTGTGACAACTGTTTAGTCAGAAATAAAAGGTGATTGAGTCCCTTTTTACACCACTTAAATACACTGTGATTTGTCCTGACTAATTGCTCAATACCAGGACCAAGACAACATCATCCTCATGTTTTCTTTGTCACAGTCGTTTGGAAACCTGGCAACATTTCTCTCCTGGAACTTTGGTAAGAAATGTTGGGCAAAGTGTACACTGTGAGCCCTGTCTCCTAGTTTGTGCTTTTTAGATCCTAAGTGGTTTAGCTGTGTTTCCAAATGACAAGGAAGGCTGGCAGTTTCACCAACTGTCCTATCTAGAAAATCAGAAACACACCCTCACACTTGACATTAAATTCTACCAGGTTGGGACAGAATTGGGTGGGAAGAACCACATCAGGACGAATGTCCAAAAGTTTGGGAGTGGCTGGAATTAGTAGAAGTCCTGAGCTCAGAGGCCTTGGAAGCAGAGTCCTGAAGTTGGGCATTATGCTAGAGTACCTGGGTTGTCTGCCCCCGACCTCTTTAAAAAGTTGCAGGCAACTTTTCTCCTTTAACTTTGGAAAGCGAAAGAGAAGGAGGGGGGAAAAAGTGATATACTATAGATGTTACCGAGGTGGCTGTGGGTGCCTCAAGACAGCTGGTCTGGTGGGCGACCTGGCCAGCCCTCACACATTCATGGTCTCCACAGGACTGAGAACTGCCCTCCTTGCCAGAATTGTCTCCAGTGTAGAGCTAGCCTGGGGTAGGGGTTTGAAGCCTGAGGCTGAACCTACCTGGACTGGAGAACATGTTGATCTTGTCAACCCTTTAGTCCTACAAGGCCTTTTTCTTGTGCCGAGTCACAGAGGCCCCGAGTGAGTACTGCACTGCACCTTCTCGGCTCTTGTGTGATACCCGATCTGCCTTGGCCCTTAGGAAGTTCTGTGCCTGCACTGTGATATTCCGTTCACCACCAGCCCCAAGTCACAGCCAACCTGTTGACTGTCACAAGTAGAACTTTGGGTCTAGTGGCATTCAAAGGAGTATTACGCATGTGGAGTCCATGAGCCAGTGGGATATGCAAAGATCCCCAAACATGTAAGAGCCCCTTGTGGGGTGGGAAGGAACACTGTCCATGCTGTGCAGTTGCAGGGTGGGAAGGAACACTGTCCATGCTGTGCAGTTGCAGGGTGGGAAGGAACACTGTCCATGCTGTGCAGTTGCAGGGTGGGAAGGAACACTGTCCATGCTGTGCAGTTGCAGGGTGGGAAGGAACACTGTCCATGCTGTGCAGTTGCAGGGTGGGAAGGAACACTGTCCATGCTGTGCAGTTGCAGGGTGGGAAGGAACACTGTCCATGCTGTGCAGTTGCAGGGTGGGAAGGAACACTGTCCATGCTGTGCAGTTGCAGGGTGGGAAGGAACACTGTCCATGCTGTGCAGTTGCAGGGTGGGAAGGAACACTGTCCATGCTGTGCAGTTGCAGGGTGGGAAGGAACACTGTCCATGCTGTGCAGTTGCAGGGTGGGAAGGAACACTGTCCATGCTGTGCACTTGCAGGGTGGGAAGGAACACTGTTCATGCTGTGCACTTGCAGGGTGGGAAGGAACGCTCTCCACGCTGTGCACTTGTGGGGTGGGAAGGAACACTGTCCATGCTGTGCACTTGCAGGGTGGGAAGGAACACTGTCCATCCTGTGCACTTGCAGGGTGGGAAGGAATTCTGTTCATGCTGTGTGGGAAGGAACGCTGTCCATGCTGTGCACTTGCAGGGTGGGAAGGAACACTGTCCATGCTGTGCACTTGCAGGGTGGGAAGGAATTCTGTTCATGCTGTGCACCTGCAGGGTGGGAAGGAACACTGTCCATGCTGTGCACCTGCAGGGTGGGAAGGAACACTGTCCACGCTGTGCACTTGAAGCAGCATTATTTTAGAACCAAGCCAAAGGCTTTGCGTGACAACTGTTTAGTCAGAAATAAAAGATGATTGAGTCCCTGTTAAACCACTTAAATACACTGTGATCTATCCTGACTAATTGCTCAATACCAGGACTAAGAGAACATCATCCTCATGTTTTCTTTGTCACAGTTGTTTGGAATCCTGGCAACAGGTTTAAGCACATTTCTTTAAAAATTTACCTTTTATTTTCCATGTATATGCATTATGCCTACGTGATGTAAGTGCACCCAGATTGTGCAATGCTTTCAGAGGCCAGAAGAGGGTGTCTCTGAGCCCTGTCTCCTAGTTTGTGCTTTTTAGATCCTAAGTGGTTTAGCTGTCTTTCCAAATAACAAGGAAGGCTGGCAGTTTCACCAACTGTCCTATCTAGAAAATCAGAAACGCACCCTCACACTTGACATTAAATTCTACCAGGTTGGGACAGAGTGAGCCATCTCTCCATCCCCCTAAGACATTTTCTAGTACTTCTGTTTCTAAACTCACATTGCAGTACCGGTGATGGTTGTCTTCTAAGCCACAGATCATAAGCCACCTTTGTCTGGGAAATCAGCTAGAAGGTATCTCACTAAACGCGACTCAATAATTATTGTTCTTGTGAATAGATCATTCCAATGAGCATAATTTTCTTAATGACTGCATGACTACCCATCTTTGGCTGGCTGAGATCTTTTTTTTTTTGTCTGCAATTCTTCCACCTGTTCTAAGGCAACTTTTCTCCTTTAACTTTGGAAAGCGAAAGAGAAGGAGGGGGGAAAAAGTGATATACTATAGATGTTACCGAGGTGGCTGTGGGTGCCTCAAGACAGCTGGTCTGAGTCCCAGCATCTGGATGGCTCTGCTGTGCTTCTCCCATGGCTCCTGCAGGTTTGCTGGCCTCCCTTCCTCTCTGCCTGCAGGTCTGCTGCAGTCATCTGGCTTTGCCCAGGCAGGCAAGCTGCTGGTAGTGCCCATGGATGGCAGCCCCTGGTTTACCATGCAGTTGGTTGTGGAGAAACTCAACCACAGAGGGCATGAGGTGGTGGTAGTCGTGCCAGAGGTGAGTTGGCAACTGGGACAATCACTGAACTTTACAGTGAAGATGTATGCAACTTCTCACACCCTGGAGGATCTGAACCATGAGTAGAAAGATTTTTTCTGATACCCAATGGAGAACTTGGAAACAAAGGTTATTTTCTTTAGCAATGGGCTCACTCAATGGCTTTTTTGAATTATTATTCTCAACATTGTAGGAGTTTATTTAATGATAAGAACTTAGTTGAATATTTAAAGCAGAGTTCTTTTGATGCCGTGTTTCTGGATCCTTTTGACGTGTGTGGCTTAACTGTTGCCAAATACTTTTCACTCCCATCCATGGTCTTCAGCAGAGGAGTGTTTTGCCACTATCTTGAAGAAGGGGTCCAGTGCCCCGGTCCTCTTTCTTATGTTCCCAGACTTCTCTTATGTTATAATTTTCAAGGAAAGGCTAAAAGGCTACTCAACCAAATTATCCACTTGGGGGAGCATTTGTTTTGCCCCTATTTTTACAAAACTCCCATAGAATTTGCCTCTGAAGTTCTCCAAACACCTGTCACTGCGAACGATCTCTTCAGCCAAGTGTTCATTTGGTTGTTATGCACAGACTTTGTTTTTGACTATCCCGGACCTGTGATGCCCAACATGATCTTTTTTGGAGGTATCAACTGCCAGCAGGGAAAGCCATTGCCCAAGGTACGTTCTCTCTCCTTTAGCGCATACAGAATGATGTGGTTTGGGGCCTTTAATAGGAGATCCCTTACTGATCTGTCACTTGCCACTTATACTTGTCAAATTTCGCATTTCATTCGGCTGTGCACTAGTGAGTTTTATAAATGTGATCTCGTCGATGTGCGTTTATCTTGATACGCTTGTACATAATCACCAAGCTGCATTTTAGTGATTTTTTTCAAAACTGGTAGAAATCCTTTTTGACCATCAATTCTGTACCGCTGAGCATCACGAATGTGTCACGTATGCATTTTTGCCGGTGCTATGCTATACTGATTTTTGTGCTTGCTGCTGCCAAGCCTGGTGACCTGAATTTAATTCCTGGAAGTCGCATGGTGGAAGAATGGAACTGACTCTTACAAATTGTTTTCTTGACTTCCACATGTGCTCCATGGCTTGTGAACATGCATGCATGCATGCGCTCATACACACACACGTGCATGCACACATGCACACAAATTAAATAAATATTAAATAAATGTAAAAATACCACATCTGTGGCTGGAGAGATTGCTCAGTGGTTAAGAGGCGCCACCACAAGGCAGTCATATTTCTATGAGATGAAGGCTATCCTGGTCTATATAGTGAGTTCCAGGCCAGCTGGGGTATAGGGAGAACCTGTCTCAAAAAGACGCATGGGTGCACTCACATACATGCAGGCAATACACTCATACACATAAAATTTTAAAAAATCAACAAAAACAAAAACAAAACAAAAGAACACATCTTTCAGAAACAAAAACCCTAAATTTACTTTCCTTTTTATCTTATCTCAAGGTTTAAGCACATTTCTTTAAAAATTTACCTTTTATTTTCCATGTATATGCAATATGCCTACGTGATGTAAGTGCACCCAGATTGGGCAATGCTTTCAGAGGCCAGAAGAGGGTGTTCAACCCTCTTGAACTGGAGTTCCAGACAGTTGTTAGCCACCATGTGGGTGCTGGGAACCAAACCCAGGTCATCTGAAAGAGCAGTTGATGCTCCTACCCTCTGAGCCATCTCTCCATCCCCCTAAGACATTTTCTAGTACTTCTGTTTCTAAACTCACATTGCAGTACTGGTGATGGTTGTCTTCTAAGCCACAGATCATAAGCCACCTTTGTCTGGGAAATCAGCTAGAAGGTATCTCACTAAACGCGACTCAATAATTATTGTTCTTGTGAATAGATCATTCCAATGAGCATAATTTTCTTAATGACTGCACGACTACCCATCTTTGGCTGGCCCTCCCATGGAAAAAAATGATTTCAGAGCGTTTCCCAATTCTGCTCTTATCTTAGCAGTACAGAGCCCTGTGAGCAGGGTGGCTGGGTGTAGGTATGCACATATTACATTTTACTGCCTCCCATGGAAAAAAATGATTTCAGAGCGTTTCCCAATTCTGCTCTTATCATAGCAGTACAGAGCCCTGGGAGCAGGGTGGCTGGGTCTAGGTATGCACATATTACATTTTACCTGCTTCTCCCATGGCTCCTGCAGGTTTGCTGGCCTCCCTTCCTCTCTGCCTGTGTCTGCTGCAGTCATCTGGCTTTGCCCAGGCAGGCAAGCTGCTGATGGTGCCCATGGATGGCAGCCCCTGGTTTACCATGCAGTTGGTTGTGGAGAAACTCAACCACAGAGGGCATGAGGTGGTGGTAGTCGTGCCAGAGGTGAGTTGGCAACTGGGACAATCACTGAACTTTACAGTGAAGATGTATGCAACTTCTCACACCCTGGAGGATCTGAACCACGAGTAGAAAGATTTTTTTCTGATACCCAATGGAGATCTTGGAAACAAAGGTTATTTTCTTTAGCAATGGGCTCATCCAATGGCTTTTTTGAATTATTATTCTCAACATTGTAGGAGTTTATTTAATGATAAGAACTTAGTTGAATATTTAAAGCAGAGTTCTTTTGATGCCGTGTTTCTGGATCCTTTTGACGAGTGCGGCTTAACTGTTGCCAAGTACTTTTCACTCCCATCCGTGGTCTTCAGCAGAGGAGTGTTTTTCCACTATCTTGAAGAAGGGGTCCAGTGCCCCGGTCCTCTTTCTTATGTTCCCAGACTTCTCTTTGTCTTCTCTGATGTTATGATTTTCAAGGAAAGGCTACTCAACCAAATTATCCACTTGGGGGAGCATTTGTTTTGCCCCTATTTTTACAAAACTCCCATAGAATTTGCCTCTGAAGTTCTCCAAACACCTGTCACTGGGAACGATCTCTTCAGCCAAGTGTCCATTTGGTTGTTACGCACAGACTTGGTTTTTGACTATCCCGGACCTGTGATGCCCAACATGATCTTTGTTGGCAGTATCAACTGCCACCAGGGAAAGCCATTGCCCAAGGTACGTTCTCTCTCCTTTAGCGCATACAGAATGATGTGGTTTGGGACCTTTAATAGGAGATCCCTTACTGATCTGTCACTTGCCACTTACACTTGTCAAATTTTGCATTTCATTTGGCTGTGCACTAGTGAGTTTTATAAATGTGATCTCGTCGATGTGCGTTTATCTTGATACGCTTGTACATAATCACCAAGCTGCTGAACTAAGAACCGAGGCACTCAGTGCCGCTGCTCACGGTAGCGTGATTCACCGTACTGAGCAGGTGAGAACAGCTGCATAGATCCATCAGCGCTGAGTCGATTTAATCCCAGCATTCAAAAGGTAGAGTCGGTCATATTTCTTTTCTTTTTTTTGTGTGTGTGTTTTTAAGACAGGGTCTCCCTGTAGTCCCAGCTGACCTGAACTCACTATGTAGACCAGGCTGGCCTTGAATGCACAGAGATCTGCCTGCCTCTGCCTCCCGAGTGCTGGGACTAAATCGTGCACCACCATGCCTGGCTTTTAAAATGTGTAGCCCAGGCTGGCTTCGAACTCGTGATCCTCCTAAGTCTTCCCCTTCAGTATATCCTACCAGTGTGCGCCACCACAAGGCAGTCATATTTCTATGAGATGAAGGCTATCCTGGTCTACACAGCGAGTTCCAGGCCAGCTGGGGTATAGGGAGAACCTGTCTCAAAAAGACACAAAAAACATGCTCTTAGCAGTTTTGTATGTTTGTCAGTTTTTAAATAAATAATATGTACAGTAAGATACATTTTTAGTACTATTTCATTAAAATAAAATCCAGTGTTAGTCTGGACATAATGTATTTTGCCTTCATTTATCACTTTCTGGTAAGTGATGGCCACCTTTACGTTCTAATATTTGTAAATTTAACACATTCCTTTAACAGTTGCATAACTGTGTTGTTTGGGGTGCCCCTTTGTATTTTCAGTCAATCAGTATACATTAATATTGAGTCCCAGACTGAACAAATCGTGTGTCAATCCTTTCTTTAAATTCAGAGCATACGCTTACCTGACAAGGGAGACGCCATGACCAGGAAGGTGGTTTTCCCATGCTGAGCCTCGTCCACTGCAATCAGGATGTGCTGACCCTGCAATTTCCCCAAACATGGGAAACTCGCCTGCATACTTTGTGATACTTGGGAACTGTGTTTGCACCCTCCCATGGAAAAAAATGATTTCAGAGCGTTTCCCAATTCTGCTCTTATCATAGCAGTACAGAGCCCTGGGAGCAGGGTGGCTGGGTCTAGGTATGCACATATTACATTTTACCGTATTTAGATAATTGCTTTGAAAACATTGAATACCATCACCGTTTGGTCGACGGTGTTTAGAGTTGTCAGCTCTAGGTTTCCATGTTTTGAAACTGTGGTGCACAGGTTAGTTGATTTCAATGTCAGGTGTTGTTGGTAGTTAAAGTATATTGTCTTTTGCACATTTATGTCCCTATCGAGCTCTATTATTCAGTTTCCTTTACAGTTTGCATGGTTTGTCAGGTTTCCATGCAAAGCATCCCGCTGTTATCACGCCACTTCTTTGTGCTATCGGCCTACATACCTCTAAGACATTTGGGAATAGTATTGTTGGCCTAAACTGTTTAAATTGGGATTCAGATCTTTTTAAAGATATTTTATTTATTATTTTTATTTTATGTATATGCGCGTATTGCCTGCATGTAGGTAAGTGCACCCATGTCGTGCAATGCCCGTGGAGGACAGAAGAGGCCATCAGATCCCCTGGAACTGGAGGTACAGACGGTTGTTAGCTGCCATGTGGGTGCTGGGAATCGAACCCGGGTCTTCTGCAAGAACAGTCACTGTTCTTAACTGCTGCACTATCTCTCCAGCATCCCCCCAATTTCTTTTTAGTGTATGTGCATGTGTGTAGTGCACATGTGCGTTCAGGTATATGTGCACATGCGTGCATATGCATGTGGAGGCCAGAGTTCAAGGCCAGCCTCGTCTACATAGTGAGTTCCAGGACAGCTGGGGCTACAGCTCTGTCTCAAAAAGATAAAA